AAGCAAAAGACACTCTCTCTAAACTAAATGGTCCAGGAACCAGTTAAAGCTTTATGGTTACTAACCAGCAGCTTGAATTTCAAACCCCATGCTTCAGGGCTAAAGCCAGTATCCTCCAACTATCAGAGGTCAAGAGGAGATCTACAGCGGGTGGGGGGGCAGATTATCCCACCTGTGCCTAGTGAAGTATGGCAATTGCTATGTTCCAGTCAGCATGGAGCATTGTGTAACGTGCTGTTGTCAGTCTGCCCTATCTTGAAGGGAAACAAACATCTCTCCTTGTTAATTCCAATAAGCAGCTCAAGAACTTGGACTGCTTTTTAGTGCATAGCATTTTAATGATAATTACACACAAAACTAATTATACAGAGCCTAATTTTATAGCTAAAATATCTATAAGCCAAGAATACATCAACTACTTAGCTCACTGCCTAGGAACCAACCAGAATTAGGCTTTATTAAAGATGAAACATTTGGAGGGGATGAGGCCTAATGTGGTTAGGTTTTTCTAACATCGTCATTCTTCCTAAACCAGCTCCTTACATCCTACTGATTGGGAGTAGGGAGAGAGCACAGAGAGGGCATGGACCAGAATCAGAGCAGTCAACTCTTGGCAGATAGACCACTTGCTGATGAATTTACTTCATGGTTCCCAACATCTTGGCTGCATCTGCCTTTCCCAGAATGGCCCAGAGGCATGTCCTTGCCTTCTCTCCAGGGGAAAAGAGGTGCATAGCCAAAGATGTGAGAGCGAGCGTTGACCAAAATAACTGACCCTTCCCTGTGTATGAAACTGTGTAGGAAGCCATTCTGCCCCTCTGTATCTCCAGGCCCAAAGGAGCAGCAGCAATACAGCTGTCAGTCACCACACAGCATTTTATTCATGAGGAATTAGACGGTTTCAAAAGCCAAAGTGCACCTGAAATTGAGCCCTCCCAGCCAAGCAACCAGAATCTGAGCTCCAGAGCAGTTATCAGGGGTCTTTTATGTGACTCTCTGAGGCACTTATCCCAAGCAGATGTGATTCCTAAGCAAGAACCCCAAGCCCACTCCCCTCCCAGCACCTCTTAGTGGACATCATTCGAGAGAATAGGGTGGGTGGCCCAGGCTGAAGGAGAATTCACAGCTACTGCAGGCTCGACAACCTTAACCTACCCACCTCCAACCCCGTCCTCTCCAAAAGTCATGAAAACTAGCAGACTCCAAAGGGAAGGACAAATACAAGAAGACAGAAGAAAGAAAATCATCTTTATAATGGTTCAGCTCGCATTCCCAGGGCAGCCCGGCCATGGAAAACACAATTTGTTTGTTCTGTTCGGTTTCCTAGAGTAGCTGCTCTTGGGGGATTTATGTGCATGTCCCCTAGCAAGACACAGCCTGTTCTTGGAACAAGTTGTCCAGCAAACTCTCCAGAGGTGGGCACTGTTAGTGTGTTTATTTTCAAGGAATAGATCACGGTCCATTATAAAATGAGTCTTGGACTCTGAGTTCCTCAGCTTGGTGTGCAGAGATACTAACTCAACTGCTGGAGGAACCAGTGATGGTGATTCTGGAGGTGTAGTCTTTCCTCTGATTCAGGGCTGAACCACAACCCAGTTAGGGTGACCACCTTTTCAAAATGCAAAAGCAGGACACATACAGGAGCCCTGTCCCCTCCATGGCCCTGCCCCTGCCACTCCTCTCCTCATCCCCTGAGGCCCCCACCCCTTGGCCAGACTGGAAGCCGGAGCCAAAGCCGGGCTGTGGTAAAAGCCACCCAGGGAGCCCAGGCTGCTGTGAGGAGCACCAGCCCCTCCACCTGCCCTGGGCAGGGAGTCAGGGGGCCTGAAAGCCCCCCAGGGCATGCTGCCCAGGACAGGTGGAGAGTCCAGGGCTCCCCACAGCAGCCAAGGCTCCCTGGGCACCTCTTACCATGACCCAGCTCCAGCTTCCGACCTGGCCAGGGGGCATGGTTGGGGGGGGGGGGGGAAGGAGGAGCAGGGGCGGGGCTTCATGGTGAGGGGGGAAAATGCCCACCTCACCCCCCCACAAACACTGGGAAGAGGCTGGTGCCGTCCCTGAGCCTCAGGCAGGTGCGGAGTGCACCACAGAGAATCCAGGACACATGCTGTCCCGGAGTCATACAACCTGGGACCGGGACTTTGAACTCTGCATTTCTAGACTGTCCCACCCATCAGGATGGGTGGTCACCCTAATCCCAGTAGGGTGTTGGGGACACTGTGTTGTGAAAGTGCTGTCTTTCAGAAGAGATGGAAAACTAAGGTCCTGATCACCTGTGGTTGTAAGTCCATAGTACTTTCATTCTTACAACAGCAGGGGCGCTAGCCCCAGTGCCCTTGTCAGTTGGGTAACTACATTTGACCTCTCTAAATTTCCCCAGTAGTTTCAGATGGATACCGTATTCGCCTTTGCTTCCTGTTATAGTGTTGGGTAGTCCACCCCAGAGGTGGCTGCAGTTCATTGGTTGAAGTAATTGCTGTGCGTATATTACAGATGGTCCTAAATCACAAACTTGAAGTTTGGAGTTGTTCAGATCTGGGAATCTGGTTTGCACCTGTGGGGGCTAGAGTATTAGGAACTGGGGTGACATTTTGTAGTTACTTTACCTTTTGAGGTCAAGAACTGTCTGTGTGGCAGAGTTACGTGGCATCTTTTCTTTTGGAAACAGCTACTACTGTGGCTGACTGGAGATGGAACCTCAGAATGAAGTGGGGCTTAATGTAGCTTATAAACAAAGACAGTGATAACTTGATTATTTTTTGCTGTTGATGTTATTCTTACCCAATTAATGTTTTGTAATTGATTTAAGATTGGATTTGAGGAGACATAATAGGTCCCATCTCTCTGTTCTAAATGTATTCCAACGCAAAATGTAATTAACTTAGAGTTAAGGTTGCTCAAATGTCTTTCCTCACAATGCAGAGACTAAAAAGCAAGGAAATTGTAAGTTAAAACAGCCATATACAAGACAGTGCCAGTCCCACTACCATCATGACATGTCACCATACTTCACATGATCACCCTTTCTAACGAATTCAATTTCAATTCAAGAGTGCTACCATTTTCAGTGCACATATCAAGAAATTAATACTACACAGCAAAGTACCAGCTTACCAGTGTTCTGTAACATATTATAGCTGTACATAGGAAACATATCTGTTTATACATCAGTGTAGCTGTGTTTGTTTCATAACTGACCTGATTATTTTAAAAACACACTGTAAACATATAGTAGAATTTTGTTTGTGGTCTTGATGTGTTAAGTTTTGGGTATATAATCCACTTAGACTTCTCTTGTTGGCTGGTACACAGTATGATTGTAGTTTGAAGATTAGAATTATTAAGCCATTAGGTAGTGTAGCACTGGAAGGCTGGAGTTTGCCCTGAAGTGTGCCAAATTTGGAAGCTAAACTGAATCATTAAAGTATAAAACAGAAGTGGCTAGCTGGATTCTCCTCTCCCTTACACCAGTCTAATCAACAGATGTTTCACTGAAGTCAGTGGAATTAGACCAGAGTAAAACTGTTGTCATAGGAAAATAAGGCCCAGGGATTTTAGTTCTGCGTATCTCAATGCGATCTTAGCTCTGCGGTTACTAGCAATGCCTTCTTAATGGGTATCATTTTGTGCTGTACCTCTAAGAAGCTCAGGACAAAACTTGCAACCCAGTGGAAGTAGGGGCTAAGATAGCTGTAAGCACCTTCATGCCCTTTTTGATTCTGAGGATTTCTGGGGCGTTGGGAAGTGCCCTGTGAGGTGTCTGTGGGTAGCAGCACTACCTGAAATCTTTACAGTGCTACGTAGTATGGCCCTGCCTCTTCCCAGCATGCCCTTCACACAGCTGGGCTCCCTGACCTTAGAACACCCTGGCTGGTTTTACTGACAGAGGTTGTTTCAAACAGCAGTCTGTCAAAGCACGCTCTGGAACCTGTAGTGCACCGTAGCAGGGCCCCAGGGCAACTTAGTATGAGGCATGCTAGTGCACTGTAGATTTACACTCTGCTGGCTGTGCACTAAGTCTCCTTGTAGACAAGCCCACTGTGCCTGTGCTGGAGAATTCTGTCCTGGCTCAATCAGGGCTTGTATGGTCCCTTTACACTAGTGGTTCTCAAAGCCGGTCCGCCGCTTGTTCAAGGAAAGCCCCTGGCAGGCTGGACCGGTTTCTTTATCTTCTGCATCCGCAGGTTCGGCCGATCATGGCTCCCACTGGCTGCGGTTCGCCACTGCAGGCCAATGGGGGCTGCAGGAAGGGCGGCCAGCATGTCCCTTGGCCTGCACTGCTTCCCGCAGCCCCCATTGGCCTAGAGCGGCGAACTGCAGCCAGTGGAAGCCGCGATCGGCCAAACCTGAGGACGCGGCAGGTAAACAAATTGGTCCGGCCTGCCAGGGGCTTTTCTTGAACAAGTGGCGGACCGGCTTTGAGAACCACTGCTTTACACCACTCCAGTCACATACAGGGGGTGGGGCTAAGCTGAGGGGAGAGTCCCTCTCAATATTTTTACGTATGATATGTATATATATATATACACATTCATAAAAGTTGCTGAGTGCTAGAGGGAAGGTCTCTTGAAGGAGTCAGTCATTCTAATTACTAGCTACCCTTGGGAACAATCTCAGGAGGCCTGCTCCCTGGGCCAGCAAAGCCTGAAAACAGGAGAAGACATGCTCAGCAGGCTGGGGGTTGGGAGTGGGCAAGTATCGCCCAGTCTGTCAGGACTCGTTTGTCTGATCCATCAGTTATTTGTGCCCCATCAATGAAAATTGTGCAGTTGGCGTGAGTGGTTCACAATCCTTCCATAGGATTGTCTCTGACTGGATGTCCCACCAGGCTCTGTCACAAAAATGGGGATGCAATTCTAATGATGTAATCCCTGGCCTGAAGCACTCCCCATGGATCATAGCAGCTCAGTCATTCCAAATGAAGCAAGGAACTGCACAGCAAGACCTCTAGCAGTGGTTACAAAATGGTTTCCATAATGTCCTGCTTACTGTCCTCCTACCTTCTGGCTCTGCCAGTCAGTCTATCCTTTCCTCTGGCTTTACTGCTCACAACTGGTACTGTTTTGGAAGCAGGCTCACTTGTGTTCGTAGTACTTTGTCCTCCACCTGAAAGACAGGATGTACAAAGAGCTTGGGGCTAGTATATCCAGCAGTTGGCTAGCGCTGGAAACTGGTGCTGTCATAGCACCTGTCTTCCTACAGCTCTGCCACCTGGCATTGAGCTAAGAGACAGCAGAAAGTCATAGCAATAAGGTCTGTCTGGTGGTTTTATGCTCTGTACTCATGCAGGTGGGGGCCAGACTCATTTTATCGCTAGAGTTTGTGAATGTATTTCCTACAGAAGGGGGCTGTGCGGGAGGGGAGGAAAATATAAAGCTGCAAAGCCAAAATTCCCCCTGACCACAACCCCCCATTATCTCTGTTTCAGTTCAGTGTCATTTAGCTACCACACTGCCCCCCAGGATCCTTCTGCAGGTGTCAGTCCCATTCTTGAGAGGGGTAGGGAACATGGCTAAAGGAGGCAGCCACTAGGAAAATGCAACCTGAAGCATGCATGGACCTTATATTCCCAGGTCTCCTTATATCCAACGTGTCCACTATTGAGATGGTACTCCAGCCCCAACTCCCACCTGCATAGAACTCCCTCACTGGTCAGTGTATGTGAGACCCCGGACCGCAGCATGGAGTAATGAGAGCGAGTGCCCAATAGTTCAATTTAAGGCCATTCACAGGCACTACTCACCTCTCCCTTCAAAAGGAAAGGACCTGTGCTGGAATTTCCTGGCGTTTCTTCCCCCTGAATGGGCACAGCACGCACAAAAAAGCAGTAGGGTTATATAGTGAAAGCACAATGGAGAGCATGTTGTTCATGTGATGTGTTCTAGCAGCAAAGCCTCACTCCCTCGGTACATCTCCTGAGAATGGGAACTGTGGTGGATTTATCCTAATTAAGAACCTGGCATGTGCCCCTGGGAGCACAGATGATGAGTTGCAGGAGAGCTTTGCAATCTGACTCCTTGTGAAACCAGCGCTTGGGAAAGGAGCCAGTTCTAAGCTTCTCTAAATACTATAACATCATAAATAGCAGAGAGTGCAAGGCCTAGATCCTCAAAGGCATTTCGGTGCTCAACTCCCATTGAGGATCTGGGTCCAAGTTATTGAATTAGTCACGGCTGCACTCTGGGGAATGGAGAGTAGTGACAGTACACACACAATTCAGATCCACTGAGCACTCTGCAAAACAGAGAGTGCTGAGACTTATATGCTGATTTTAGAGCCATTTCTGTGCAGGCCTGATGGAAAGCAAAGTATCCCACGACTGGATCTTTCACACCTGACGTGGACCAGTGAGCCACATGTTCATGGCTAACAAATGTCAAAATAGGACCGGTGTGTCCCTTCCTCACCTTTCTTACTGCTGAGATTATCCAAGACTGGCTCCCCATCCTTACTAAAGTCCTCCTCAAACCTGCAGGAAAAAACAGGGCATTGTCAGATACAAACCCACTCACTTCAATAAGCAGGAGGCAGGTCTACACTCAAAAGTGAAGTCAACCCAGCTGTGTTGCTCAGAGGTATGAAAAATCCACACCTGAGTGGCATAATTAAGATGACCTCTCCCCCAATTCTTCTGTTGACCTAGCTTCCCTCTCTTGCGAAGGTGGATTAACTACGCTGACAGACCTTAAAGTCTATGAGCCTCTGAGAACCCTGCCCGTCACTGTAGTGAGTAGCTACACTGAAGTACTGAAATGCTCCTAGAGAAGCCATATCCACCAGTCACATATACTTTCACCACAAAGGAGACCTTCTAAAGGCACATTTTACTGCGCACGTTACTTACCCCAAAGGAGACCTTCTAAAGCTTTCATACCAGAACAGACCATCTTGTATTCTGTATATGCCACAGGGAAACTATTTTAGGACTCTTTTGGGTTTTTAATCAGGATTATTTTTTGTATCCACCTGTAAAGCCAGGTGCCCTTGTTACCATGAGTCCAATTATGGAAGGTGCAGGGGGGGAGCCACGCAAACTACTAAAAATGACCTAAAATTGTTTTTCTCTAGGAACACAGGATTTGTCATACTAGAGAAGTGGCCCATCTAGTTCAATAGTCTGTCTCTGACAATAAACTTAAAAGATCACAATATCGTGGACTCCTCCTGGTGGTGCCTCCAGTTAGGAAGTTGGGAATTTCCCCTTTCCATTGGTATAAAGTACCCAATTCTATGCTCATATAACTGCGAAATACTGGACATTAAAGCTGTGATATCTTTATGTATAAAAAAACTATTATTGACCTGTCTGAATATTAATTGGGTGCCAAGCCAGGGTAATTTTTGGGGTGGAAGTTCCACATCTGGGGGGAGACAGAGGAAACAAATCTATGGCAGATTGAGGGGTTTGTTTTTAATTGTTTCATTTTAAAGACCTCCATCTTACCTAGGCAAGCATTGTACCATGACTCCAATAACATTACAGTTTCACAAGATAACTGAAATAACATAACGACTGAAATCTTAGAGGTAAAAAGAGCTCTCCAACTCATCCAGGGGTTAAAATGTAACAAATGTGCTACCCATCTCTTTGATCCTGGCAGGGAGACTTTTATTTTAAAAAAGTGGGAGCCTATTGGAAGCTGTTTGGTGATTTGGAACATTACAGCAAGTCCCAGGGAGATGGAACAGTGAGCAGAGTACAGGTGAAATTGTCACGGGTGCATGATAAATTAATTTATCATATGGTTTTCTACAGCGTATATAGGGCAACTGCTGAAATAGTGAATGGTAAAAATTTGTCAAAACTTCTCTGTGGGAGCTTTCTTGCCAAAAGCTTTCTGCTCTGTGCACACAGTTCCACCCCCAGAAGCTCTCCACCTACTACATATAATAAATAAAGTAATAAGCATTAACTTTATGCACTTTCATAGCACCTTCTGTTTGAGAATCTCTAAGTACTTTACCAATGTTAATAAATGGAGCCTCATCAACCAGCTGTGAGCTAGGTGAATATTATCCCTGTTTTACAAATGGGTAAACTGAGGTACAGAAAGGTTAAGAGCCATAGTTTCAGAGGTGCTATAAACCCACAACTCCCAATGCATCTCTAAAAAAGCAGGCTTTAAGTGACTTTCTCAAGATCACATGGGAAGTTTGTGGTAGAGCTGGGCACAGAACTGAGATCTTCCAGCTGACAGTTCTAGCACGTAACCAAAGGACCATCCCGCATACCTGTCTCGTAAAAGCGCTCTGTACAGTACACAATATGAGTCTGGTACCGGCAAACCCCTCTGTCTAGAATATATAATGGTACGAACATTCAATCCAATGCATGTAACGAGCCCTATTCCAAAGCCCTTGGGCCAGTGTGTGCAATGTGTTCCACTCCCAAAAGCCACCTGGCCAGTGCATTTCAGCTGGGTTGCTAAAGAGGCAGAATGTAAATGAAGGGAAGCTACCTCATTACTCTGCAATACCATGATGAGAGTCATCCCACAGTACTGTATACCGTGCTAGTCATTGAACTGACACAGGATGGCCCTGCCCATGACAGAGAGCGCACTAGAATGTCTGAAGGAGGTTACTTTATAAGGTACGGGTGATGTAGCTGGGCTGGCTTTTTATGGAAATGAAAAGGAGAAATCATGACGACTGGATGACAAGGTTTGAAATATCAAAGCGGATTTGCCCAACTGTCCCTTTTGGAACAGCCCCAGCTTCTTCCTACCTCCATCAGTCCCATATGCCTAAAGTTGTGGAGGACCAGTGGAATTAGCTGGGGGTCAACCCCTCTATAGAGGTAGTGAGAATGGGATGTGATTCAACCCCCTCTACAGCTCTCAGAGTCCCTGTAGAACCCATGCTGATCAGCCCCTGGGATTTAGTGTTTCACAGTTTACCAGCTCACAATGTCCCATCAGAATATAGAACTTATCATTCACCGTAATAGGGCCTGTAGCATGCTAGGCACCTCAGGGGTGTAGATGACCTACATGTGCTCTGACTTTTCTACATCCCAAGCCCGTCGCCATTCGCCCTTTGCGTTCTTGTGGCGCGCTAGCCTCTCAAGGTCGATCTGATCTCGTTCTTTTTTCCATCGCACGTATTCTGAGCGTTCCCGTCCAGTCATGGTGAAACCCATGTCTCCTGGACTCTTCTGGAGAGGTTTCCCTCCCTCCTAGTGGAAGCAAATGAGCAACTCATTAATACAACACCATCAACCAGAAACTATGTTCAATAAGGTTTCCGGACTAGGCTGGTGGGAATTCTATTAGAAACCTTGTAAATAGCTTGCTTTTAGAAACTGGTAACAGCTGCTCTGAAATGTGACTTTTCTGTCTAAATATTCCCTGTCTAGATATATGCCTTGAGTTGTAACCCTTTTGAAAACATGTTACTGTGCTTGTGTGTGCAAATGGCCAACGTTACCTGATTCCCATTTTCAATTTACCTGATTTCTGTATTCAGTCCTAGTAATTAGATGCATAAATTAGGCAGCAGTCATTCACGCACTGTGTCTCGGCAACTTCACACTTCGCTTAATAGGTTAAAAAAATCACATCCACGTTGTTATTCCTGAAAAAGGCACTCATCCAAAGCAGCCCAGTGTTGTCTAGTGTATCTAGCTAGTCCTAGAAGTGCCTGGAACAGAGCTCTCCAATGTTTTTTCTGTAGAGAACAATTTCTGAGTAACTAAATTCTTATGTGAATTCAGAAGGCCAGGGAATAAGAATTCCAAAAGACCCTGGAACTCTTTACTGGTCCAAGGTAACAGGCACAATCTCTTCCCCCAACCCTTTCACCCTCCAACATTGGGGCGTAGGGAAGAGAGTCACTTTGCAACCATTGGTGAGTGCTCTGTAGCTCAAATTCACTGGCTGATGCTGACTCCTGGTTCACAGTGCACTGTATAATGAGCATCACATGCATAAGTCAGAACAATATCCTTTGAGCAGGGGATTGTTTACTTTCACCGCTTGCGCCCTCTCTCTCTCTCATGTTGTAAGAGCTGAGAGCTGTTGCTGTTCCAAGTATTTAAAATCTCAACAAAGAGACAGTGCAAAACAAAGCTGAGTGTATCAGAGGGAGATGTGTGTAACACAGTGACAGATTAATAGACTCCACTGGAGGAGGAGGCTGAAGTTGGTTCCTTTTCCCAGTTCCTTATTTGTGGTAGCAGCTCTTTACTCAGAGTTCCCTGTTCCTTATTCAAAGGATTTATTCAAATTATATTTTTTAAATCAATTAAATTTCTAAAAATTGAATCTTACAGTAAGTTAATGTGATAAAAATTAAATGGCTAATTCCTTAATTACTTATTAACTAAATAATCAAATGAGGAGCTGGGATCTGAGTGGCAGTATGTGATTAAATAAGTCTCGGTCACCCCAAGTGACACATCCCTGCGCACCTCAGACTGCTCTGAAGGACTGGGTCATGCCACTTACTGACCAAAGCTTTGTTTATGAGCAATATGCTGTCACCTGTTATGCCACCACCCCACTTCCATATTGTAAATGGTGACTGAACTGGGTTTTGACTGGCTGTATGTGATAAATTAAGTCTCAGGTCAGCACAACCATTGAACTGTTCTGCTGTAGCTGAGACATTGGAACTCCCTTATTTGGAACTTCTTCTTTGCAAAAAATTGTGGCCCATGTCACCAGCCCTTCTCCCCCTAACCTCAAACACATACACACCCGTTAGCTAGGCAACAGGCACAGTAAACAGGGGAGTCAGAGGATGAAGCTGTGGCTCATGCAGGTAGAGGGACTTGGTGCATGTTGTATTTGTTCCATCTGTTGGTTGGTTGTTCTTTGGGAGGGTGGTGTGGCTGGGCTGGGGGTACTGAACTGGCCAAGTGATATGGGTCTGTTTGTGTCTCAGTGAGGGCCTTGTTGCTGTGATTTGTGGGGCTTTGAACAGAACCAGTTTTTGAAATTTGAGTGGTTATTCCCTCCCTGTTTGTGAGGGCAGGAGCTGAGAAGTGAGGTTTGGTATATGTTAGTTGCCAGGCGAATGGGTATGGTATCCTGGATGAGTTTTGGTGGGAGCGTAGAGAGGAGTGGGATTCCTGTTTTAGGTTTGGCTCTACACCAGAGAGCAGATATGGCTTAGAAGAGAGCAACTGCTGTGATCCACCTTGGATGTGCTATGTTTTACTTTCCGTCAGAAGACGGAACAGATTTCTGGTGTTTGAAATGCAAGCTGGTGGCTGTAGTGGAGGAGAAAACACATTGTCTGGAAGCATAATTTGAAATATTGTACAGCATCTGAGACAGTGAAGACTTCTTGGACAATCAGATTGGGAAATCACTGTCAGATGCCACAAGGGGATGGCTCAGCAATAAGACAACTGGAGAGAGTAGAAATCAAAGTGGACAAGTGGTTTGTAACAAGAGAGAAAGAGAGCCAAGAGTCATTTCAACTTCTCTAGAAGTATCAAAGCTCAGCAGTCAGCTACAGAAGAACCTGTCTCTAGAGGAATGGAAAAAGCTACCAGGGACATACCTGATGGGTGTTCTTATGGTATGAAATGAGCAGCAACCAAGTGAAGTTCATCAACCATCATAAGAATACAAACAATCATCACTGATAACTCAATATTAAGAAGAAAGGACAGAATTCAGCAAGGGACACAGGGACAATAAGACAGTGTGCTGTATCCCTGGCATGAAAATATGAGAGGTAACTGAAGGACTAGACAAGATCATGAAGTTGTCTGTCCACTTATGATGATACACATTGGAGCCAATGACACAGCATCACATGGAACTGTTCAAATTAGAGAAGACCTCAGGCACCTTGGAAGGGAGTGGAAGAAAAGGAAAGTCCAAGTGATCTCATCAGAGATCCTTCCAATCCAATGAGCAAGAGAAGGCAGAAAATACAGGAGGTAAACTGTTGGCTGCACAGCTGGTGTGAGGCTGAAGGTGTAGGTTTTGTGGAACATTGGGCCACATTCCAGTGGGAGTGGGGGCTGTACATATGGGATGGCTGGCATCTCACAGATTGGGGGCTAACCTTCTCTGTAGGAGACTAGTTGGAGCAGCTAGGAGGGCATTGAGCTACAAACACAAGAGGAGGTGCTAGGGAGACAAATGCTGTACAAAACTAAAACTCAAGACATCACAAACAAATTGAACTGATGTGACAAAACATGTGAAGAGAAGACATTTTTCAGTTGCTTACATACCAATGCTAGGAGTCTGGTTAACAACGGAGAGGAATAAGAAACTCTCATTGATGAGAAAAATATATACAATTGGCAATACTGAAACCTGGTGGGACATTTCACATGATGGGTTATCACCTCTTCAGGAGGAATAGAGTGGGTAAAAGGTGTGTGTGTCGGGGGGAGGGGAGGACTCTACATTAGTTATTGTTGCTTGTTTTACAATTATTGATAATCAGGGATCCTAGAAATCCGTTTGCCCTGGAAAAACACGGAATTTGCATTTTTTAAGAGAATCTTTAGTTTTTGCATTTTGTGAAAAAATAAAAACAGGTACAATAGAACCCTATTTGTCCGAGCTTCTGACCTGTATAGCAGAACAGGTAATATTTAGATTTGATAGATCCTGAAATTTGTCTCGGCACAAAGATGTTTTTGTGTCCATAAGTGAAACACGGACTTCATGCAGGAGGCAGAGAGACTGATTTGTTGAAGAATGTCTGGTTTGCTGAGACCTCCACTGGCTCTGGCTAACTCTAACCTAGGATGTGAGACTTTGTCACACACATCCCCCCTCCCCCATGTGTCCTTTTCCTTCCCCACCTTTTCTTTCCTATCCTTCTCCTTTTCCCTTCTGTCTAATAAGAGCCTGGCTTAGTTGGCCAAGACTGCTTATTTTGCAATACTGCTGTAGATTCATGACCAGGGAATCAGATAAAAGCAATTCCCTAAACAACGCAGTGTTGGTACAAGTTTCCCAGGTTTTGGAGTGGCTAATAAGACTGTGTGCCATGTCTGTATATCTCTAACAGTGAGGTTGCAAGTGAGAATCAATACCAGAGACAGAAGCTGCATATTTTATCTTTGCTGTTCTTTTCTTTCCCCTTTTGTGTGTGTTTTGTCTGAGCTTTTAGAAAATGAGGTCAGGCTACAGAAATAACGACAGTTCTAGTCCATTTCAACTAACTTATTCCCTGTTTCCCAAAAACAACAATTATCACCATCGTTAATCCCATCCAAGAGACTGTCAAATGCTTTAACTGGTTTTCCTTCTTTTTCTTTAAATAAAGGAAAAAAAGGTTTTAATGGTGTGTTTCAGAGTAGCAGCCATGTTAGTCTGTATTCGCAAAAAGAAAAGGAGGACTTGTGGCACCTTAGAGACTGACCAATTTAGCTTTCGTGAGCTACAGAATGCATCCGATGAAGTGAGCTGTAGCTCACGAAAGCTTATGCTCAAATAAATTTGTTAGTCTCTAAGGTGCCACAAGTACTCCTTTTTTTTTAATGGTGTGTTTCTAATGGCACTAAGCTGACTGAGGTCTCTGTGTACCAACCCTCAACCTTGTTTATAACTGCTTAATGTCAGATAGAGAGAGGGTCACGTTAACACTTTGACTCTCTGGGCCCATATATTCCATCTAAATTAATAGAACAGTACCCTTGGATTCCTTGCTGATGCTAAGCTCTCACATAGCGGAAGCCAAGAGTAATACTTTCTGCTATCCCTGGTTGGCTATGATACTTTCTCCTACCCTGGTGGACGATAACCTGGTCTAAATTATTCACACCTTCGTTACCTCTCGGTCGGCTGAAAACACTGTGCTGCACCTGGGCATGAAACCATCAGCATTTAGTAAACTTCATCTACTACAGACTGCTAGAGCACATCTCCTCAGCAACATAGGTTGCCACGAACACGTCACACCTGTCCTCTGCTCTTTATACTGGCTTCACACAGAATTTCAAATAAAGTTCAAAGTATCATCCTTATTTTCAAGGCATGGAATGGCCCGAGCCCAGGCTCTTGTAAAGATTTCTTAAATTCCGGAACAAAGACGTGGTCAACAACTCCACTCCTCAGGCACAGTGGCACTCTCTACAATAAAGGTAAAGTTTGTCTGGGCAGTAGACAGAGCTTTCTGGGGGGCTGGTCCCTTACTGTGCAATAAACTCCCCCAGGAAGTAAGGACAATCACAAACCTCACCACCTTCTGCTCCAAGTG